CTTGGGGTTGTCCCGAGTGTCAAACTCAAACAGTTTTCGAGGATTGTCAGGGAAGGAGTACACATAGATGCGGTTCCTCAGCACAATCACAATCCTGTGGACATCACAAGTAACACAGGTCATGAGGAGAGGGAAACTGCCAGGGCAGGGGCTAACCTTACTTACTGTGAGAACTTCTTGTCCCACCCCCTCCCACCCGCCTGGGTCTTCATCATGCTCACTTGTCATGGCGCATGCGCACAGCCAGCACTGGCTTGGTGAAGGTGAATTCCAGTACCAGTTTGTCCTTGGAGTCCTTGCCTTCTCGGGCATCATCCCAGATCAGCACTGCTAGGCAGATGGGTGAGAGGCAGACTGGGTGACACAAGGCCCATCCCTACTCCTCTTATTTCGCCCGCCTTTCACTATATATTCGATGTGAGCCTCACAGAACATGAACACTTATGGACAAGATCTCTAAGAAAACACATTCTAGAATAGTGATGCTTATTTGGAGATAAGGAAAGCAAGGCTCAAGTGCACTGAATGTGGTCAGGGACCTTACAGCACAAGGCCAAACAGTTCAAGGATTCATGCCTAAGCCCGTAAGTTCCCCTCTGTAACTACTTCTGTCTTCAGGATCCAGTTCATACCCCCAGGGATATTTCTGTGATGAATTCTAGATTTGTGACTCACCCATGACAACTCTTGCCATGTCGTGGTGGGATCAACAAGGAAAAAAACCTTAAAACAAGATGGCACTTGAGACTCAAACCAAAAAATTGGAGAGACAGTTCCAAGATTTGGATGCTTGGTTTTTTGTTTTGTTTTCAAGACAGGATTGTGTGTGTGTTTGTGTGTATCCTTGGCTACCTGGAAATAGCTCTAGAAACCAGGCTGGCATGGAACTCAGATATCTACCTGCCTCAGCCTCCCCAACTGCTGGGATTACAAGTGTGCACCACCATACCCGGCTCTTGAATACCTATTGTGTGATCTTGGATAAGTCAGTTAGCTTCGCCTTAGTGTTGTCATCAATAAAAAAATGAGGATAAGGAAGCCGGGGATATGGCTTACTGACAGAACATGTACAAAGCCCTGGACTCCACCTATAGCATAAGAAAGGAAGGGAGGGAGGGAGGGAGGGAGGGACAGAGGGAAAAAAAGAACAGCTGCCTAATTGTATTTCCCACCACACAGAATTAGCTGGGTATGATGGGGCACATCTTTAATCCCAGCAGGCAGAGGCAGGAAGAGCTCAGTGAATTTGAGTTCAGCCTGTCTATATAGTGAGTTCCAGAGCAGTCAAGGCTATGTAGAAAGACCCTGTCTCAAAACAAAACAAAAACTAACAGCAGGGTGTGATACTGCATGCCTTTAATCCCAGCACCCAGGGGGCAGAGGCAGGAGGATCTCTGTAAATTCGAGGCCAGCCTGGTCTACAAAACAAGACCAGGACAGCCAAGGCTACACAGAAACCTTGCCTTCAGGGAAAACAAAAACAAAAGAAAATACCATAAAACTAAATGAGCTAATATGTAAAGCCAAGTGTGAAGGCACTAGCCTGTATCCTGGCACTTGGGAGGAAGATCAGTTTGAGGTCATACATAGCTACACAAGACCTTGTGTCAAATTGATGTGTGTTTGTGTGTAAAGTGCTTAGAAAAACTACTAGGTTCCTAGTAAGTGCTCCATTGGTAAGAACATGGCATATAAGGAGCATGGAGACAGGCAGTAAGTGATTTTGCTGTTTTTTTTTTTTTTAACAGTTCTGGGGATAGAACCCAGGGCCTTCTGCATATGAGGCAACCACTGAGCTACCCTCCCTCTCCAGCCCCAGTAAATCTTTTTTCTAAAGATTTATTTATTTTATGTATGAGTGCTCTATCTGCATGTATACCTGCATGCCAGAAGAGGGCACCAGATCACATTATAGATGGTTGTGAGCCACCATGTGGTTGCCAGGAATTGAACTCAGAACATCTGGAAGAACAGGCAGTGCTTTTAACTGCTGAGTCATCTCTCCAGCCCAATTTTCCCTTTCTTAAATAAAAATGAAGCTGAGCAAGGTGGGGCACACCTGTAATCTCAGCACTAAAAAAAAAAAAAAAAAACCTAACAGCAGGGTGTGGTGGTGCATTCCTTTAATCCTAGCACTCAGAGCAGCAGAGGCAGGTAGATCTCTTTGAGTTCGAGACCAGCCTGGTCTACAAAGCAAGTCCAAGACAGAACAGCTAAGGCTACATAGAGAAACCCTGTCTCAAAAACAAAATAAAATAAAATATTTAGGGCTGGAGAGATAGCTCAGAGTTTAAGAGCACTCACTAGCTGCTCTTCCAGAGGTCATGAGTTCAATTCCTGGTAATCACATGGTGGCTCACAGCCATCTATAATGAGATCTGGTGCCCTCTTCTGGCATGGAGGTCTCCATGTAGACATTACATTGTATATATAATAAGTAAAACTTTAAAATGAAATAAATGCAGAAGCTTCTTTAAAAAAATAAAAATTTTGTAAAAAATAAATAAAACAAAGATGAAAGAATAAAGCCAAGTGTGGTGGTACACATCTTTAATCCTACCACGCTGTGAGTTTTGAGACCAACCTCATCTATACAGAACTAAATACACAGTAAAACCCTGCCTCAATAAATAACAGACCAAACTTTTCTTTCTGTCTTTCTCTTTCTGTCGGTTTTTTGAGATAGGGTTTCTCTGTGTAGCCTTGGCTGTCCTAGACTTACTTTGTAGACCAGGATGTCCCCGAACTCACAGAGATCCGCCTATCTCTGCCTCCCTGACTGCTGGGATTGTAGGGGTGCGCCACTATGCCCAGGTCCAGACCAAACTTTTCAAGCTGGACGATCCATGACTTACAAACTGTGCCCCACCGTGGGACTCTGAGGTGCTGACAACATTTGCCAGTGCCTCGGGGTGTATGTGGGAAGTGAGGAATTTGGGAAATCTGGATCAAGTATAGGATGAAAGCACTTACCCGAAATCTCTGAGAACTTAGGGCTGCTACCACCGCCCACCAGGGCCAGCAGGTTGGATCGGTGCAGCATTTCCACCAGGCCCATGCTGCCTACCTGTTCATGGTCTGGACAGGGGTCAGGGTGTTAGTAGAGGTAGATGGCAATGCCTACATGAGCCCTTCTGCTTACTGTCCCACCACTACAGCCACTCACCCAGATGCCCCTTCTCCATCAGTGGCTCCACATTATAGATCCGTACGCCTGTCTCCATGGCACAGCAAAAGCAACCTGGAAGGAATTAGTCTGACTCAGAATTCTGGGGCTCATAGCCATGTCTAACCCTTCTTTCCCCAAAAAATACAATCATAAGCTTACTTTGGTCTTGGTTGAAATGTAGGCTGGTCACTCCTCGAAATGGCTGTTGGGTCATGGTCCAAGGCTGTCCCCCTAGGCCCAAAAAAGACAGCATGTGGAAGAATCCTGGAGTGCCCTCTCTTAAGTCCTACAACTTCTGTCCCCCAGAAAATTTCTTCTTCCTCACCACTTCGTCTATTTTGTTTTGAAATAGGATCTTGCTATGTATCCCTGGCTGTCCTGGAACTCCCTATGTAGCACAGGCTGGCCTTGAATTCCCAGAAGTCCTCCATCCTCCACCTCCTGAGTGATGGGATTATAGGCATGTGCCATCACGCCCGGCTTCCTCCCCATTTTGATACTTTTCTTTGCCAGACTGCAAAAAAACAAAAACAAGTGGAGGATACCTCAGAGAATCAGTTCAAACCAAGACCACAGGCAGAATGTGTCGTGGCCTATAATGCCAGAGTCACAACTGCCATAAATACCAACCATTACTGAACTTGTTGGGAAGTAATGGGGTAGGGATATCCCATGATACTTCCTCACTCCCAGCCATTCTTGGCTCTAATGCCTGACATGACCTCAAACCTCTTTCTACAAGCTTTTCATCTTCACACTTGCACCTGTCAGTAAATGGAGGAACAAGGGCTCAGGTATCTTGCATCTCCCTGAGACGGCTATGAATGGTCCATCAACCACAGAACTCCCCTCCTCATGCTTTTCTAACTCTAACTCATTTATTTGCCTCCAGGGACTCTCATTCATACCCTCCCATGCAACATACTTTCCCCAAACCCTTCTCAGATATTGCTAACTCTGATCACTAAGGCAAGCCTGGGAACTCCCTCCACTTAAATCCTGAAGACGCCCCTGGCATTCCCTTGACATTCTAAAGCCCACACTTGACACATTTCATTCCCTGTACTCTATCCATGACTCCTGAAGTGACCCGATGCCACTCATGAGGCCCCTACCCCTAAAATTTTCCCGTTTATTGCCACATTATCTTCTGAAGACCCTACCCTAAGGCACAGCTACACTCCAAAGACCTTCTCCCAGTATCCACCACCTAAAATCCCTGCCCAGGAACACCCCAAGCTAGCAAAGCAGCGGCTCTGTCTTCCTGTCCTAAACATTCCTGTCCTAGAAGCCCCATCACTCCAAGACCTCTGTCCAGACACAACTCTTATACTCTAAGACCTCAAATCTGCCTTTTCTGGTGTAAAACCTGGATCTTGCTTCTGCAAAAGCCATAATTCGAAAAGCACTAGCTTCCAAGACCTTTTTTTTTTTTTTTTTTTTTTTTTTTTTTTTTTTTTAGATCTCTGGTCCAAATGCTCACATTAATCAAGAACCCTAACTGAAATGCCTCACCCTCTCCCAAAAGTCAAGTTCTTTTCCATGACAGCATCGACTCAAGCCTCTTGTCCCCAGCCATCACCTGTCAAGACCTCTAGTAGAAACACCCACCCCATGACCCTGACCAACCCTTGGATCGTGCTCCAGATGCAGGATGCCTTTGCTGACTTGATCTTCACCCCTCACGGACCCCTGCCCTTGCTTTTGGTGCCGCTTGAGGCACAGATTTCTGACCTCCCGGGCTTAGGTGCCCCGCTCCGCTGTTTACATCAGGTCTTACTTCCGGAGGAGGGATTCTGTGACCGGAAGTGACTCATCCTGGGCAGAAAAATTCAGCCACTGCTCTTCTCGCCCCGTTCGCGGACCTGTGGAGCATCCCGAGCAATAGGAGAGTCCTCCAAGGGAAGTTCCGGAAGGAGAATGAGGGCCAATTGGGACAACGGAGGCACAAGAGACTGCCTAAAGGCAGGGCTATAGGAGAGAACTCTTGAGAGAGAGGAACTGCCCCTCCCCTAAACAGGCCAAGCATTGAACTCATTAACCCACCGATAGAAAGAGGGATGAACCGACCAGATTCTGCAAGGGTAGCTGTTTACCTTTCGACTCTGGAAGCCCCTTACTGGAAGATAAAAGATCTTGAAAGTTGAGATCACCTTGAGCACAGGAAAATGCGGTGGGATTTTCCATTCTTTTTCCCACCCTAGCTCTGTTTATTTACAAAATGATAAATTCTTTTTTTAATGGTAAAATATGTGAGTACTCAGGCGTGTTTGCACACACCTGTAGTCATAGTACTTGGCTAAGAGGTAAGAGGAACAGGAGTTTCAGGTTTCGTGGGCTAGATGAGAACCTGTCTTTTAAGAAATGGTACTAATGGAGCATGCTTACTGTAGAAGCAGAAAAGGCCCCAAATTACACACTAAACATTAGAATTTTGTGGTACATTTGTGAGAAATAATAAACAAGTTGGGACTCATTGCTGAGACAGGATCAGAGAATTTGTGTCACCCTGGGTTGAAAAAAAAAGTCAAAATGAAAAGAATGGAGACCTACAGTGATGTTTTGCCGGCATGTATGTCTGTGTGAGGTTGTCAGGTGCCCTGGAACTAAGATTATAGACAGTTCTGAACTGCCATGTGGGTGCTGGGAATTGAACCAGGATTCTCTGGTAGAGTAGTTAGACTAAGTGCTGAGCCAGTTCTCCAGATCAGAGACTTTTTTTTCCTCTCTTAAACAAATGCAATGTGTTATTCTTCACTGTTTTTTGTTTTGCTTCTTTTTTAGCACAGGCTGGTCCCAAACTCAGGATTTACAGAGTGAATCCAGATTTAATGGATTTACAGGTATGTGAGTGTCCACATAAGTACTAACCAGGTCTGACTTGCTTAGTTTCCAAGATCACACAAGATTGGGCAGTTCAGGGTGGCATGGCCATAGACTGTCACTGCTTCCCACTTTCTAAGTGTATATTGTTTTGATGCTGTTTGGTTGGGGTTTTTTGTTATTCGGTTTTTTTGTTTGTTTGTTTGTTTTTGTTTTTGAGATTGGTTCTTACTGTGTAGATCTGGCTGGCCTGGAACTCACTTTATAGACCAGGCTGGCCTTGGAATGCAGAGATCTGCTTGCCTCTGCTTCTGGAGTGCTGGAATTAAAGGCATGTGCCACCACACACAGCTTTGTTTTGTTTTATTTTGTTTGAACTTGAATTTCAAACACTTATCTGATAGCTGGACCTTGGTAGTCAGCCTCAGGAGAAGGAAGTAGAACTTGATGGGAATAGAACTTGATGGCTCGCTTTAGGAATATAATCTAACATAGCAAGGCAGGGAGAATAAGGGAGAAGGGGCAAGGCCCTCAAGAGCCATGTTCAGTTAACATATAAGGTCACAGTTTACCTCATCCTTTTTAACCTACTCATGAAACTGCATAATCTAAATATAGCATTGTCTAGCCATTCCCTTATTGATGGCCTTAAGACCCTGTGTGGTCAGCTCTATGGGCTTGGGGGTTACACTTCCTTATAATGAAAGTCACTTTGAAATGATCAGTCTTCTTTTTGTGTGTTTTTTTTTTCTTAAAAGATCTATATTTATTTTACGGATGAATGTGCTATATGCATGTACACCTGCAGCTAGAAGAGAGCATCAGGTCCCAGTATAAATGGTTGTGGTAGCTGGGAATCAAACTCAGGACTTTAGAAGAACAGACAATGCTCTTAATTGCTAAGCCATCTCTCCAGACCTTTTTCTGTTTTTTTCTAAAATTCCTTTGAATTTTAACATTTTTGACAGTTATATTTATATAATGAATTTTACTTGCTCAATCCCCTCTCTCTATTCCCTTCTCTCATGTGCCCCTCCATCTCCTGCTGGAACTCTTTTCACCAACAAGTCCCCATTCTTGTGGCCTACCAAATCTAGGATTTCCTTTTCTTTTTCTTTCTTTTTTTTCTGAATCTCTCTTTTTTCCCCTTTGTAGCCTTGGCTCTCCTGGACTCGCTTTGTAGGCCAGGCTGCCAATCTGCCTGCCTCTGCTTCCCTGAGTGCTGGGATTAAAGGCATGTGCCACCATGCCCAGAAATAGTGTTTCTTTTAACTAGAAATATTTTTAAGCAGTACAGTGGTGGTGTACAACTTTAATCCTAGCACTAGGGAGGCAGAAGCCCGAGGATCTCTCTGAGTTCAAGGCTAGCCTAGTCTACAGATGGAGTTCAAGGACAGGCAGGGCTGTTACCTAGAGAAACCCTGCCTGGAGCGGGGGAGGGGGGGAAGGTGCCTTTCAAGTTAGGTTTGGGAGTAGCTTTCTCCTTTAAACCCAGCATTTGAGAGATATTTACCAAGCTCCAGGCCACCAGGCCAGCCACAGCTACAAAGTGAAACTCTGTTTCAAAAAAAAAAAATTTTTTTTTGAGCCTGGTTATAGTAGCTCATCCCTTAATTCCAGTACTTGTGAAACAGAGTCTGTGAAGTTCAAAGCCAACCTAAAAGGAAAAACAACAACAACAAACAAACAAAATCTCTTTTCTTTTTGTATGTGTGTGTGGGGTTGAGACAGGGTTTCTCTGTAGCTTTGGCTGTCCTAGAGTCCCTTTGTAGACCAGACTGGCCTCAAACTCACAGCAATTAACCTGCCTCTGCCATCCAGAGTGCTGGAATTAAAGGCATGTGCCACTGTGCCCGGATCTTTTGGTTTCTTGAAATAGGGTTTCTTCCTCTATCTCCATTTTGCTGAGCTCTCTTGAGAATTTTCTAGCTTTTGTAGACTCTCTAGACAAATAAGCATTGAGTGGTTTATATGATTTACATTTGTCTGATCATCTAATTTGAGCAATCAGTCATGCATGCGATTAGTGTTGGGGGGGGGTTGTCTTTTATAAAATTGCCTGTGATGGTTGTTATTGTAAGCTTGACAAAATTTGGAATCAAGGGAATCTCAAGGAGGGATTGTGTAGATCAGATTGTGTAGATCAGGTTGGCCTGTGGGCATATCTGGGGGATTGTCTTGATTGCATTAATTGAGGACCCATCCTACTCTGGGTGACACAATTGCCTGGGTTTGGGGAGGGGGGGGAAGGAAGGAAGGAAGGAAGGAAGGAAGGAAGGAAGGAAGGAAGGAA